CATCTGACGTAAGCTGCTTATTTCAGTGGAATCCTAATCTTACAGAATTCACTAATATCTGACCGATATACCGGGTGGCTAAAAGTCCCTTGTTCAGCAGAAATTGAATTGTATCATATATATTGACACTATATTTAACCTAAATTAACAGTCCTAAAAATATGGGTTGAAGAATAGGTGGCCAACTTAAGGACATAATAACAAATATTTTTTCCTTAAGTATGTCACAACTAGAGAGGGCATTACACTTTTAGCTTGAATTCTCATGCTTATGGCACCATCCTCCGAGAATTTTTGTAGTTTACCTAATGCAGTTTTATGCTACATTTAAAACTATTCTGGAATATCCAGCAACTTCAAGAGATTTTATTATAAACTTAGCAATTATTCTGTCAAAGTATTGTTACAAAGAAAGCTTGGTTATATAGAACAATTTCACTGATTATTTATCCTAGTAGGTATTCCAGAGTGTCATCTAGGCCCGATCAACTCCCTAAAAAACGGGTTTAAGCAAGTAAGTAAGAGCTTTAGAGTAGAGACTTAAATACTCACTTAACGTCACGTAGAATATGAAGAATGAATACGCCAATATTTGCTTTCTATTGTTTATAGAGATTGCAACGAATGTACTCGTTACTATTTTTATTCAAAATCCCGTATTGCCTAACATAGCATTAGCTGGAATAAAAACAATACCAGACAAATAGTACGTTGGGACAATACGTTTACCTTTAGAATTTAGAGTCTAATGAATGAGAAAACTCCAAACAAGTTAAAACTTCGTTTCAACGGTTGTACCCAAACTCGAACCTGTATAGATATGAGTACCAAAACAGTATGGCTCAGCTTTTGTTTGCAGTCGCTTTTAATTGTAAAGCGTCTATTATACCTCGATTTCGCACGCTGGGAAGGACAGCACAAAGACTCTGTGGAAATTACCTACTCAAGCGTCTTCTGTCATGGTAAAAGTGATATGTTCCAGCGTCCTACAATCGATTGATATAGTACCAGGCGTTTAGTCGGCATCATAGTCAGCCTCATCAGTTGGAGGCGCTTTCCTTAGTGTAGAGTGATAAATCATTAAAGTGATAAATGAAGATAAGTCTCTTGAGCAATTCTCTATTCAAACGTAGTGGGACCTCCTTTCATCATAACTTAGCTCGTAGCCTTGTATCCCTATCCCTCAACATTACTTCATTTGACCCATTTATCTATCCACGCCTGTCTGTGTCTTCGTTTTTCTATTGTCGCATTATTCTCGTTCTCGGGGTTCCTGAACCAATTTACAATAGGGGATAAGAAGGATGGAATATCACCGTTCTTGGATGCAGAGGTGATTCATTCTAAGGAGAACCTAAGGAAACACTTGTTCCGAAATAACTGCTACTCAATAACAATAGTAAATTTTTTATAACCTTGTTTTTCGCAACTTGGTCATATTAGTAGGAAGACTTAGAGGAACGCACCTAGTCCGGAGTCCATTGTATGCAGGATAATTTCCAAAGTCTGACCGTGGACGTGGTACATTTCCGAACTCTGATAGGACACGAAGAGAGAGGGCTGTGGATTAAATCGCAGTCTTGGATCAAAACTTTCGGCACAGTCGAGGGGATGTGGGAACCAGCGAGGAGGGTGAATAGGTTTATAATACGTTTAGATTAACGAGTAAAATTGTGATATTGAAGTGGTGATGAGGGGATATAGGAGTAGCGAATATCCCAAGACAGAAAAGATAAATCATGACTATTTAGCAGACATTTGAACAAAGGATCGACTTTAATTGTCTTTTTGACGAATGGTAGTTTGGTGCTACCAATGACAAGACTCACTGACGATGCCGGTGAAATGACTGGGAAAGGAACAAGTCCACGGTCCGGCTCTGGAAATTATCATAAATACTATGGAATCTATACAAGGTGCGTCCCTCTAGATCTTCCTGCCAATATGACCAAGTTGCGAAAACGTGTTTAACCCACTATTATACAACGAAGGGAGACCGCGACCAAATAAAAGGCCACAATATCTTGGTCTTCATACCTCATTTTATGAACCAACTTGACCAAGTTATCAAATTAACAATGGTGGAGGAGAAGGAGCGACGGCTACCTTTCCTGGGTGCTGGGATCATTTGTTTTAATGGGATTCTCAAGAAGATTCTTTATAAATAATAGACATGTGGGAATAATCCTCAATTTTCAGCCTCATCACAGCTACAGGCTGAAGACCATAATAGCGAAGAGTTTAATCGTCATAAGATTATGAGTGACGGACTGGAGTTCTGGGAAGAAGATTTGAACAAGCTTACTAGGATTTACCTTATTGACGGTTATCCTAGAGAAGTAGTACCAAGAAACATAGGGGTCGTAAAGAGCAAATTGTAACATTAATATTATGAAGATAAATCAAAAATGAGAAAACCGACCAAAAGTGGATAGGTCCGTCCTGCGCACCGAGTCAATAATGACAATCGATAGTAAGAAAATGAAATATTGGGCGATCACGAAGGAGAAGACTAGCTGCCGATAAAAAATGAGATAAACAAGCTGGATTGCATGACATGTAGTAACTATGGGCAGGAATATATTGGTGAAACTAGAAGATAAAGCAGTCTACATAATAAGGAACCTCCAAAGAAAAATTGATAAGGAAAATTCAAAAATACCGGGCATATTAAACTGACGGGATAAGAAATCGAATTGAAGACAACAAAAAAATAGCGTTTTTAATCGACCAAGTAATAGACGGATAAGTTTTTAGGCGTTTTGACTTTTTAATGTGTGGCCAGATATCCATGTCTTCAAAAAATGAACTTTAAACTGTTATCTATCTACTACTCCTGCTAAATTCAAAAAAAGAATAAATTGAAATTTACTAGAACTTTATTTTCACTTGAAATTAAAAAATACGAACTAGTAATAAATCAAGGTATTTATATAAAAAGGACGGAGATACTGTATCGGAAGTACGTTTTTGACTTGAGGCGTCATTAGACACAATTCATACGCTTGTATGATTAGATCTGTACATTTTTATCCTCATAGTTTAGTGCTTTTTTATCTAACCTGATCCAGTCTTCGTAACCAAGCCCACTTGCCTTATTAAAGAGACTCTCGCATAACTGACTCATGATGGTTTCCAGACAAAAACGAGCCTCATTTGACTCAAATTGACTAACAAGCTGGTGTAGTAGAGCGGGCAGTAGCCAGCATACCACGTCGACTCGCTGCTTATTTTCCAGGGAGGTGCGAGCAGCTGGATATCTGTTAGTCAGCCAGTCAACTATGAAGAGTGCCCGCGTGATCGAAAGCACGCGCTTGACCATTACGCTGGGGCATTCTTCGTTAATCTCAATTCTAGAATTCACCCCTGATTCGTTTGACTTCCCTAACTGATCTTCCTTTGTTCGAGTAGCATCGCCCAGACAAGCACAAGCGTTCGTCACCAACCTATCAAGCAGGCCTTCGAAAAGATAGTATGAACTTCCAGAGAAAAAATCGTCCAAGTGTGCAAGTGGGGCGTTTTTTTTTGAATTGGGTGAGGAGACCAAGCAACAACAAGGCTTATTATTACTGTAAAAAGTAGAGAAGCGGTGGCCTCGGTAAGATCTGCCAGTAGGCGGGCGAACTCGAGTTGGTAACGCAACTTTTGCTGTTGCCAAAAGCTACTGGGTAGAGCGGAGGAGAATGTTTGATTTTCACTTCTAGTTCTGTTTGTCGAAGTTGACCAAGCCTAAAAGCAGTTATTAAAAAGTGATAAAATTCTTGTTTAATGCAAACAGAAAAACTAGATCACAGTGATAATTTCCTAAATAAAGGAGGAAGTTGTTTGACCTTGTTTTCGCAAATTGGTCATATTGGTAGGAAGACTTAGAGAAATGTACCTTGTCCTGAGTCCATTTAATGAATAATCATTTCCGAAGTCGGACCTTGGACGTGATACATTCCCAGAAGTTTCGCCAGCATCGTAGTCGACATCGTCAGTGATTTTTACCATTCGTAGTACCATATTACAACTCGTCAAAGAGATAAGTGAAGCCGATCCTTTGACCAAACGTGTGATAAACAGTTGTGGTATCTCCCCTTCTACCCTGGTCTATTCAGATTTCCTATATCCTCCTATCATGCCTTCACCGTCAAAATTTTTTACTTGCCTTATTAAATATGGTACAGTGTGCCTTTTTTACCGGCTCTCAAGAGAACCCTCTGCACTCCATGCTAGCCTTCTCACCTCCTTCATCCTTATGCTGGGAATTTTGATCAGAGTCTGCCATATTGTTGCATAATCCTCCTTCAATAGGTCCTACCACAATCTCTCTCTTTCCTCGTGAGATCCGTCTGCCCGTTTGATGAGTTGTATTATGGTGCTACGAATGGTAAAACTAATTGACGATGCCGACGAAACGTCTGGAAATGTACCACGTCCAAGGTCCGACTTTGGAATTGATTATGCATACAATGGACTCAGGACAAGGTGCGTTCCAATATAACCAAGTTGTGTAAACAGGGTCAAACAACTTCTATACAACGAAAGGAGACTGCGACCACACAAAAGGCCGCACCATCTTGGTCTTCATACCTTCGAGTAAAGGAGAAAGATTTATTAGAGGACTTTGCATATCATTAATACTTTAATTTAGTTTATATTGTATTAATCGATTCTTATCTTAATGCTAAAGTACTAGACACAGGTTATGATTCTTAGACCAAAATAATACAAAAAAATGTTCAAAGTATTTTAAGCTCTTACTATAAAGAAGGGCTTAAAGATATTACAGTGGCTTATACCCTATAGTAACAGTTTTGTTAAAACCATTTTCTTGTCATAGTCAATCGTGGCATGCATAATTTTGCTACATTTATCAACATACTTATCCAGTAAACAGTAATCTTTCAACCTTATTCTGTTCAACGGCGTCCAAGAAAACTTATCAGCTACATCTAGTCTCCCAGTTGAGCCAATCAAAACATGTCATTTAAAGTATTGTGAGCAAGAAACACTGTTATTTCCGGCACATTTCTTGTCCTTCGCGGCCCACTGTGTCCCACAAACTATGCTGTCGGACTAAGGTCACACGCCGCCGTTGTTTTTGTCGTTCCACTCTGAAGATTACCCTATAACTTTGGATGTTCTATACAAGGTACTCCGTGAATCACTTTTCTTTCTTTATATATAAGACAGAGTAACTCAAGATTGTATCAAGAAGCCAAGTATATACTTTCAGAGGCATCTAGATCACTAAAATATTTACATGCATGAAATATTAGTTAGAGAGAGATCAGTATATGCGCTTTCATAAAAAATGGGAGAGCAGAGGGGTGAAAATTTGGAAGGTGTAAACAAACCAGCTAAGGAAAGCTTATTTTCTCCCCACTACGAAAGGATCTAAGGTATGCCATTGAATGTACATGATTCTCAAAAATGATTTTCTTGTGTGGCCTTGAGTTATCACAAAATGACAGTTTAAAACATTTGCTCATTTATGTTGGATATTTATTCTTTACTTTGTTTCCACATATTTAGGTAGGCTTTCTTATCATTGAGCAATAAACATTCCACAGGTATTTGGATGTTCCTGATAGGGTAAGTCCAGGCCTTCCTTAAATTAAGAATTTGTCTGATACGCTCCTCAGGGAATCCAACCTTTCCAGCCATTCTCACAAATGCCTGTTAATGTCTCAATTGCCTATTTAATTTAAATGTTATTATTCTTGAAATAACCTAAGTCTATATGGCATTTATGCTTGCGCCTCTAGAATCTTTATTCTTCCGTTTTTTTAGATTGTTGCAATATGCCTATTGTTCGATTGATAAAGGTAAATAACTTTGAAGGTTTTCGATGGGTTAGACTGGAATAAGAGAGTAATAGCAAATTTAGCACATAGTTCTTAAAAAGGATAGTCATCGAGAGCGCTGCTTCTGCGCAAGCCGGTTTATAATGACTAAGATAAATTCGGAAGAATAATGGACTACGGTTTTTTAAGAGTCTCATGACATTTTTTCAGACTATAATGGAAACCAAATCCTACTT